TTGGTCGATGACCAGTTTGCCTTGGCCGATGGTCCTATCTTTTGGCCGATGGCCTCCCAGAATGTCCACAAGGTGGTTCAGAAGTGTCACAGAAGTTGGCACAATTTTTAGAGGAACAGAGCAGTGCAAACAGAGGCAACATGAAGCATGGCAACGAATTTCTGAGCAAAGCCTACCGAGCATGCATTTGTCCCTCTTCCTGAGACTGCTTTACTATTTTTCATAGCTTAATTAGTTTGTTTAATTAGTTAAGGGTTGTGTAATAATTAATTAGCTTGTTAGTTAGTTAATTTGTATTATTCTTTCGGTCCATCTGTCGAGAGGGCGCAATTATGTAATAAGCGTGCGTGTGTGTGATGCATGTCTTCCAACCCCCATTTCTTTCTCCCTTTTACTTACCTGCTTTCGATGGTTAGTCTTAGGACATATTTCAATTAGCATCCTTATGCTAGGCATGTTTGCATCATTCATCTGTGTTGCATGCACCGGGCTCGGCGCATCATACTAACTGCATTGTATTTCAATTCCTACTTGAATACATGTATCGAGTTGTCGCATCTCATATGCCATCTTAGAATAGTCGAGCCTATTTCTAGTTACATTTTGCATGTGTTGCATTAGCCATCTTAACATGAATTAGGGTCATGCATTGATTTCTAACTAGCTCTCTATTTTGGCTCGGAGTACACTGTGAGTGTTTATGCTTTAGCATACTGCACGTGTGTTAATGTTGCCATGACAGTATGCTTGCCATGAGGCTAATTGCTTTTATGATATAATTGCCTGAATACCTGTGGGTGAAGGTTGGATTACTTGAATTGGAACGATTCATTGAAATCCGCATTTTAGCCTACTTGCGAGTAGCAAACTTCAAATCATTTTCCAAACAAATGGATATGCGATGCTTTGTTCCAAATTAGGCGATCTAGTCTATACTTGTGTGTTGTGTGCATCACATAGTAAGTCTAGCTAATAACCAGAATAAGAACGCATGTGTTTTCAAAAACAAGATATCATGCTTAGTACAGGCCGATCTTTGAGCGGGCGAGCGGGGGTGCTCATAGATGCCCTCCCCCTCTCGTACCCAAGTTCCCGAGCCGAGGCAACTTTGGTGATGACGGACACGTGGCCTTAGGCACGAGTCAGGGTTTCCTAAATTCTCCCAAAAAATAAAATATTTAGGTGGCGACTCCGCATCTGGCAAAGCAGTCCATGTTTGGCACTTCTTTCTTAAAAATCAGTTTTCCAAAACGATTTGCCGAATTTGGGCTCTTTGGTGATTTATCGATCTCGCATTGCACTTTGCGGGATTATATTCAGAACCGTGACATTTGAGTCCGAACTGTAGCATGAAGCCCAAGGGCGCGTCTACAGTATGGTTCTGTAAGATGCAGTCAATCTCACTCTTAATTGCTTCTTTCCACAAAGGACTTTCAAGTGAAGTCACAGCTTCATGGAAAGTTCAAGATTCTCCCTCTAACATATAAGTCAACGAGTCTAGACCAAAGGATTTTGCAATCCTAACCCTTTTACTCTTTCTTGGCTCATTTACTTCTTTAGCTTGATCATCGACTTGATCATCTATTTGATCATCTATGTGATCATCTGCGTGATCATCTATGTGATCATTGTCAACTTCAACTTCTTTCATGGAACTTGAAACCCCTTCTTGGAGACAAGAAAGAAATGCATCTTCAAAGAAAGATGCATTTCTTGATTCCATGATCATATTCTTGTGTATATTTGGAATAGCGGACCTATACACAAAAATCGATATGCAATGTTATTATGTGCACAGCCAATGAATACACAATCCATTGACTTCGGGCCTATCCGAACCCATTTAGGTGTAGCCACTGCCACTTTCGTAAGTCACCCCCACATTTGTAGGTATTTATATGAAGAATTATGGCCTTTCCACAACTCATATGGAGTCTTGTCTACATTCTTCTGAGGTATTCTATTAAGAATGTAATTCACGGAGAGAATTACTTCCCCTCACAAGTTCTGTGGCAACCCAGAACTTATTAACATTGCATTCATTATTTCTTTTAACGTCCTATTTTTTTCGCTCAGCAATACCATTTGACTGAAGGGAATAAGGCGCTGCAATTTGGTGGATAATCCCAAATTAAGCACAAATCTCAGCAAACGGGGATTCATACTCACCACCATGATCACTTCTTAAAGTCTTTATCTTACGGCTTAGTTGATTCTCAACTTCATTCTTGAAAAGAAGAAATTTATCAATCGCCTCATCTTTGCTTTTAAGCAAATATACATAACAATATTTAGTGCAATCATCAACAAAAGTGATGAAGTACTTGTTACCACCACGTAATTGTACGACTTTCAAGTCACACACATCACTATGCACTAAATCTAAAGGTTTGGTACTTCTTTCAATAGAATGAAAAGAAGTCCTTGTCAATTTTGCTTCTACACAAGTTTCACACTTAAGATTTGGATTAATCTTGAAATATGGTATGTGATCTAATTTGATTAAGCTACGCAAAAAGTCAAAATTCACATGACCCAGTCTACCATACCATAAATTAGGGGACTCAAGCATATAAGCAGAAGAATAAGCTTTTTCATTATTTTTAGGGATAAGAGTCATTACATTGAGCTTTAACATATCGCCCGACATATACCCCTTCTCCACATAGACCCCACTCTTGGTCAACACGACCTTATCAGCCTTAAACACCATGCGGAAGCCATGCTTACTTAAAAGCAACCCCGAGACAAGGTTCTTACGAATGCTTGGAACATATAAGACATCGTTCAGAGTCAGCACTTTTCATGAAGTCATCTTCAAGACCACCTTGCCCTTACCCTCAACAGTTGAGGTCGCAGAATTTCCCATGAACAACTTCTTACCATTTGAAACCACTTCGAAAGTTGTGAACATCTTCTTCTCAACAAAAATGTGGCGAGTAGCCCCAATGTCCACCTACAATTCCTTCAGGTTCCACCCCACCATGTTCACTTTCGAGATGACAACTAACAGATGCATGTCATCCACATCTTGTGATAGATCCTCCATCTCATCCACGTGAGCTCGACTTTTGTTTTGTTGAGGGTTCTTCTTATAGGGTTTCTTTTTCTTGCAGCAATCAACTGCCCGATGCCCATCGCTTCCACAGTTGAAACACTTTCCATTAAACCTAAAAGTAGGTTCCTGCGGCTTGTAGACTGGCCTTTTGGAGACAACACAGTCACTTTTATTTTTTTGGTTCTTACCCTAGTGCAAGCAACGTAGTGTAAGAGTCACTTTTCATTTTTTTTCTCTTCTCTTACTCTCTCTCTTGGCAAAGCAATAGCAATCTAATGCAGCAGTAAATCAGATAATATTTATATATATATATATATATATGTATGTTTTGGCCTGTTAAAACAAAATATATGATAGTAGACAAGTCCCAAAAAAAAATCCAAAAATGAACCCAAAAAACATGAAAAAAGCACGAGTCCAACCCACTCAACCGATTTTCGTCCACAAGAACAACCGATTAACCCACGCGCACAAACCATAACCTATAATTCGGGTAGCTACTGTGACAACCCCATTCTGTATTATCCTATTAAGTTGTAATTATACTTGTGATTATGTGCTTAATGTGAATTTGGATGTTAATCATGTGATTATGTATGTTTTTGAATTCATATATGTTCCTCGTAGGAAAATTTGTTTCGTATTCTATAATAAACTAAAATTGAGGGTCGTAGAGGCGACAGAAACCAAAATTGATCATACCATTATGATTAGCATAATTTTTAGAGCCTATAGTGAAATTTAATTAAAAAATGATTCAGATCAAATTAATTAGATTAACTCAATTAAAATAAGCCTTGATTAATTAGTCTAAGTATGGATTAGTGAATTAAATTAATGAAGCCTATATATATATGCTAATTAAGGTTCTTACCTCATATTTTGAGCTCAAGAAATCTGGAAAAAAAAAACAAAAAACAAAACTTTAGAGAGAAAGTGAGCCAATTTAGAGAGAGAGAAAGCTCAACTTGGAAGATTGCTTGGAAGATTGAAGAAATGGATTGAATAGCACAAGAATCTACTAATACAAGTGATAATTAAAGCTCTAGGTGAGTAAATGAACTCTACTTCATGAGCTTAAATTTAGAATTGTGTTAATTCATGAAGAATATGTAGTTAAATGCAAGAATTGAGTTAAATATGTTGAGAATGTAATCAAAATGTACACATATGTATAAATTTGCTATAACTTTTCACATTTGAGCATAAACCATGGTGATCATGTTAAATTGAGAGTTATTTGATACATGCATTCATAAATTATGAGGTTATGAAACTCAATTCCATGTTTGAAGATGATAGAACAAGCATTCAAGCTAAATTCATACATGCATGAAAGTTTAGAGTTTCATTTTGTCAAATTCATGAAGCTTTGGGCATAAGAGACATAATTCATCCCATATTAATGTTCAATACATGTTTTCAAGCTTTTGGACAAGTCATGCATGCATTTAATTGTTGAAATCAAGCTTAGAGACTTATTCTTCAAATCTGGAAATTCTAGAAATTTGACATATCGCTTGAGCAACGGAAAAGTGGCTCAAGTGTATATTTTGAGCATCCAGCATTTTTGCAGACATTGGGGGTTGGCTCGAGTTACTAAATTACCGCTCAAGCGGCCACCTTACATTTTGAGCCTTGGCTTGAGCAACCAGGAAGTTGGCTCAAACGTGAAAATGAACCATCCAGTACTTTTGCAGACCAAAGGGTTCGCTCGAGCGACCAATGTTGCGCTAGAGCAAAGTGCCCTGTTTCAAGAAACTTTGAAAAGATGTATTATGTTCCGATTTCTATTCTTTTTCATTTCTAAGCATTCTTAGGCATACATTGAGCATCCTAAATAAACTAAAGAGGTAGAAAGAAGCCTATGAAAGATAAATGAATGAAAGAACAGATTGAATTTATTGTGACCTAATTTTCGTATGTGCTATGAATTGCGTAGGGTCAATTGCGAGGACAAACCAACCATCTGAACACTAAGAGTAATATCTTAGTAAAGATATTTTCAAGTATGTTATTTTCTAAATATTACCTATGTGGTTTTCTGAACTCATGAATTTGAATCATGAATGAGTATTCTACCAGTTTGATTCATAAAAGACTTAAAACGTGATTGATAAGCACGAAATTACAAGATTCTACCAGAGGTCATTTTGTATGAATACACAATGGGCCTTTAAGGCCATTTAGTATGATTGATGAGAATGTGTAATGGGCCCAAGGCCATTTGGTATTTTGATAAGGACACGGAATGAGCCTAGAGCCATTTGGAATATTTGACAAGATAAACCTAAGGTTATATTACACATGAATTGGACCGAATGTCATTTTGTATGATTGTTAAATGGACCAAATATCAATTCAAACAAAGAATTGATTGGAGTAAAGATCGTTTTAAATGTGAATACGAATGTAAACATAATCACGATTATAAACACATGCATGAATATGATTTTGGAAATAATGGACCTAAGGTCGTTTTGTACATACAATGTAAAGGACCAAATGGTCATTAAATGTGAACACGATCTCAACTTTGAATATGCACATAAATAAAATTATAGATATGTTGGACCCGAGATCATTTAGTAGCCCCAAGGTTATTCACATTTGAATTCTTATTGATTTTGATAATCGACAAATATGTTGAACTCATTTAAAATTTTCAAAGTTTTCAAAATTATATTATATTGTTTTTCATTATTTCAAAAAAATTGAATGGTTCAAATTTGTCATTTTCTCATAAAAATTGGCACCTCAAAACATTGAATTTGTAAAAGTGTGCAAAAGTCTATTTTTACTTAAAACAAGTCCAAGGGTCGACACCAAAACAACAAGGGTCAGCACCAGAAAGCAATACATAATGCCTAAGTGTTGCAGCAACCAAGGGTCGACACCAAGCCTTAGCAGAGTCGACACCAAATTTCAGTATACCAAGGGTCGACACTAAGAATGAAGAGGGTCGACACTATATTTTAGTATACAAGGCTTAGACAATTCAGTAACAAAAGGTTGACACCAAATTTTAGTGAGCTAAGGGTCGACACCAGCAAATGACAAGGGCTGACACCAAAAGACAGAGAAAAGAGTTCCAGCAAACAAAGAGTCGACACCTAGTTCCAGGAGGGTCGACAATAGGAACACCTGACAGTCAAAGCAGAGAACAAAAGAGATCAAAGGGTCAACACCCAATCTGCAGGGGTCGACACCCTCATGTATGGGTTTCAAAACCTAGCCACTATTTTTTGATATATAAGAAGACTTTGCAGTCATCATTATAAGCAAACCTTGAGCAGACTCTACTATCATCATTATGGAAACATATCTTATCTTCACCTACCAAGATTTGTATTAATGGACACTGCATCTTTTGAGGAGTCACCATCTCCAAAGGCTTGTTGACAAGCCTATACACACCCATGCTTTACTCTGACAGCTTGAAAACATCACCCATGCTCTGCTCCAATAGCTAGAAAACACACACATACTTCTCTCCAACGGCTAGAAGTCATTAAAGTCTATAAAGGCAGCACTTCTCCAAATCTGATAAAGTAGAACTACTCTGAGCATTCAAGAACTATTCCTAATCAATCTCTGGTATATATTACTTTTGTACTTTACTTTCACATCTGAGTTTATTCTGAGCGTATCTCAAAATTTCCTTTGCTCTTACACTTTCATATTCATCTTTTGAGAGAGAAATCTAGTAAAAGATGACAATTGTACCTCTTGTTCTTATTCCTTTTATTTTGAGTGAAATCTGGAAAAGTGAGGCATTTAGTTGAGAGGTCCTCAACAGATAAAGTAAGCCCTGTAAAAAATAAAAAATAAAAACCACAAGATTGGTGAGGCTGTGGTGGTGTATTGATTTGATTCAAAGTGAAGAAAATCTCAAGGAGGAACCTTGAGGAATGGACGTAGGTCCGGTGCGCTAAATCACTATAATTCCTTGTGTTTAAGCTCTCCTTCCTTTCTCTTTTATTTTTAGTACTATTGATTGTTTGCTGAAATTTATCTACTTGATTTATTACATTCAATATTCTGCATTTAAAATTTTTTAAACCTAATTCACCCCACCTCTTAGGTTGCTTACTAGGGTAACAATTGGTATCAAAGCCTTGTCTCTAGTTTTTTGACTTAACCATCTTAGAGTGATGTATGGCAACCCCTAGCTCCTCTCTTCCTGAAGGTCAAGCCTCAAATGGACCATCCTTTTTCAATGGCACAAATTTCAACTATTGGAAAACCCATATGATTATACATATTCAATCCACTGACTATAGGGTGTGGAAAATCATTTGTAATGGTCCCAAAGTCCCCACCAAAACCATAGATGACCTAAAGGTTCCCAAACTTGAGAGTGAATGGACTAGTGTTGATTATAAAGATATTCAAGGCAATGCCAAAGCTGTCAATATGTTGTATTATACACTTGATGCTACCAAGTTCAATAGGATTTGTACTTGTACAATAGCGAAATAAATTTGGGATAAACTTATTGTAACTCATGAGAGAACAACACAAGTTAAAGAGTCTAGAGTGAGTTTGCTTATTCATAGATATGAGCTCTTTAAGATGAAACCTGATGAAAACATCTCCCAAATGTTTACTCGTTTTACCGATATTATAAACAGCTTGAAATCTCTCGGTAAAACTTATACTAATGTTGAGGTTGTGAGAAAAGTTCTCAGATCATTGCCAAAGAGCTGGGATAACAAAGTTATCGCTATGATAAAAGCCCAAGACTTATCAATGCTATGTGTTGATGAGTTAATGGGATCTCTCTTAACTCGTGAGATAATAAAACAAGAAGGAAAAGAAGAAGATGACAAGAATAAGAAGAAATGAATAGCTTTTAAGTCCACCTTGAAATTTCAAGAAGATGAAGAAGACGATTTGAAGGAAGATGATGAAGAAATGGCATTCATCACCAAGAGGTTCAAAAGGTTTGTGAAGAAGAAACAAGGTGTAAGAAAGTTCTTTAGAAAAGACTTTAACAATAGAGATTTTCAAAAAAGAGAAAATCATAAAAAAATCTGAAGTCACTTGCTATAAATGCAACAAACCGAGACACTACAAGTAAAAATGTCCAGAGCTCAAGAAACAATTCAAAAAGGACAAGAAGAAAGCCATGATTGCAGCATGGGGAGAAGATAATGATGAAAGCAACTCAAAAACTAACGCTTGCAAAAATAAGGTTGCTAACCCATGCTTGATGACACTTGGAGATGAAGATGAGGTTACTGATGAATCTTTTACCTTTGATGAATTACGTGCTGCATTTAAAAAACTAAGTTTGAAAAGCAATCGTCAAAAGAAAATGATTTTAAGTTTATCACAAGAAAATGAATCCTTGACTTCTAAGATAAATGCTTTAGAAAATGAAGTCTTGACCATGGAAAAGGAGAAAGAGGTTTTAACTTCAAAAGAGTCTTTCATTTTTGAAAATAAAGTAGATGATTTGCAAAAAGAAAATGAGATTTTGAAAAATAAGAAAATTGTTTTAAATAAAAACATAGAAGATTTGAAAAAATGTTCTTTCAAAATTTACCCAAGGTAGAGATACCTTAGACAAAATTCTTAAAAGTTAAACTCGAACCTTTGGAAGAGTTGGGATTGGATACAAACCTTTTTTAAAATTAAAAAATTCCAAAAAGACGTTTGTTCATGCATCATCAAATCATTCTCATCTCACATGTCATTTCTGTGGAAGAAAAGGTCATATCTCTCCTTCATGTCCTGTTAAGAGAAATTCTTTTGTTAGAATGAAAAAGGAGTGGGTTTTCAAAAACACTTCAAATCCTAACTCTCATGGACCCAAGAAAGAATGGGTACCAAAAAGCCAACAAAAATTCAATTTTTACAGGTGTGCTTTAGGACAAAATCCAGCACCAACCGATGATATCTCGACAATGCGTGCTCAAGGCACATGACCGGTGATAAAGCAATGTTCTCATTTCTTAAATCCAAAGAAGGAGGTCATGCAACCTTCGAAGATAATAGCAAAGGAAAGATCATTGGTGTCGATAATATTGGTAAGTCCTCTTTACCCATTATCGAGAATGTCTTGCTTGTTGAAGGTTTGAAACATAACTTGCTTAGTACTAGCCAATTGTGTGATAAAGGTAATAGAGTTACTTTCGAAAAATCTCATTGTACTACTGAAAGTTCTATTGATAACAAAGTGTTTTTTGTAGGTCATAGACACGAAAATCTGAATGTATTTGATTTGCGTAGTTTATCTTCCAATCATGATGTTAAGTACTTATCTACTATAAATGAATCGGGGGTTGGTTATGGCATAGAAGATTAGGACATGCTCATGTTGATTTGCTTTCAAAACTTTCAAAATTTGAGTTAGTTATTGGTTTACCAAAAATTGCTTTTGAAAAGGATAGGCTTTGTGATGTTTGTCAACAAGGTAAACAAACAAAAGTTTCTTTCAAATCCAAAAATGTTATTTCTACATCTAGACCTCCTCGATTGCTTCATATTGATTTGTTTGGACCATCTAGGACTTTAAGTCTCGGTGGAAAATCATATTGTCTTGTTTGTGTGGATGATTATACTAGATTTGCATGGGTGTAATTCTTGGCACATAAAAGTGACACTTTCTTTGCATTCTCTATTTTGTGTAAATGTATCCAAAATATGATTAATCTTGTTATTTGTTGTATTAGAAGTGATCATGGTAAAAAAATTAATAATGATGACTTTATTCTATTTTGTAATGATCATGGTATTGATCATAATTTTTATGCTCCTAGAACTTCTCAACAAAATGGTGTTGTTGAAACGAAAAATAGAACTCTCGAGGAAATATCTCGCACTATGCTTTGTGAAAATGATTTGCCTAGATATTTTTAGGCTAAAGTCGTTAATACTGCATGCTATGTTGTAAATCATACTATGCTTAGATCTATTCTCAAGAAAACCCCATATGAACTCTTGAAAGGTAGAAAACCCAACATTAGTCGTTTGTGTGCCTTTGGTTATAAGTGTTTTGTGCTCAATAATAATAAAGATAATTTAGGAAAGTTTGATGCGAAATCTGATGAAGTTGTGTTTCTAGGCTACTCTAATTCCAATAAAGCTTACCGTGTATTTAGTAAAAGAACTTTCCTTGTTGAAGAATCTACACACGTTGCTTTTGATGAATCTAACTCCTTTGTTTCAAAGAAAGTTAAAAGTGAAGATGTTGCAAAATCTAATCCAAGAATGGACAACATTTACATATTAGAAAATGAGGAAAATCATTCTTCAGAACCCAATGATGGAGTCTCTATGGAAGATCTTCAAAAAGAATACACTCGTCTAGAAAAGGAAAATGATCTACCTAAAAATTTGGAGATATGCTTATGGACATCCAAAGGATCTCATCATAGGAGATGCAACACAAGGTGTAAGGACTCGTTCATCTATTCATAATGTTTGTGGTAGCTTAGCTTTTGTTTCCCAAATTGAGCCATAAACTTTTTCTGAAACTGAACATGATGAAAATTGGATTTTCGCTATGCAAAAAGAATTAAATCAATTTGAAAGAAATAAAGTTTGGTTTTTAACTCCTCGACCTAAGGATCATTTTGTTATTGGAACAAAATGGATTTTTCAAAACAAAATGGATGAATCCGGTGTTGTTACTCGAAAAAAGCTAGATTGGTAGCCCAATGTCATAATCAAGAGGAGGGCATTGATATTGATGAGAATTTTGCACCCGTTGCTCATCTTGAAGCCATTCGTATGTTGCTTGCATTTGCATATTTTAAAGATTTTAAGCTTTATCAAATGGATGTAACAAGTACTTTTTTAAATAGATACATTTCGGAGGAAGTTTATGTTGAACAACCTTCTGGTTTTGAAAATCACAAATATCCCAAACCATGTTTTTAAACTTTCAAAAACTTTATATGGTTTAAAACAAGCACCTTAAGCATTGTATTTATGATTAAGTAATTTTCTTCTTGATAAATGTTTTTCTCACAGCAAAATGGATACCACTCTCTTCATAAAAACAGAAAAGAAAGACATTTTCATTATTCAAATTTATGTCGATAATATTATATTTGGTGCTACTAATGAAAATTTGTGTAAGGAATTTGCTAAGAATATGTATGGCGAATTTGAAATGAGTATGATGGGAGAGTTAACTTACTTCCTTGGACTACAAATAAAACAAACCAAAGATGGAATCCATCTAAGTCAAGCCAAATATATCAAAGATCTCCTCAAAAGATTTGAAATGGATTTACCAAAGCCAACAGCAACTCTAATGAGCACATCGATTAAAATCGACAAAGATGAGTAAGGTAAACCGGTAAACAAAAAGAAATATCACGGTATGATTGGTTCCTACTTTATCTAACTACTAGTAGACCTAACAAAATGCTTAGTTTTTGTATGTGTGCACGTTTTCAATCTGCTCCAAAAAAATCACACATCACCGCAGTTAAACATATTTTTCAATATCTAGTTGGCACTCCAAATTTGGGTTTTTGGTATCCTAAAAGTAATGCTTTTGACCTTTATGGTTACTCAGATGCCGACTTTTATGGAATGTAGACTTGACCAAAAAAGTACTAGTGGCACTTGTCATTTTCTTGGAAACTCTCTCACATCATGGTTTTATAAAAAAAAAAACAAAATTCAATAGCTTTGTCAACTGCTGAAGCAGAATACATTACCGCTGCAACTTATTGTGCACAAATGCTTTGGATGAAACAATAACTTCACGATTTCGGACTTTACTTGGATCACATTCCTATAAAATGTGATAACACTAGTGCCATTAATCTTTCAAAAAATCATATTCAGCACTCACGTACTAAACACATTGCAGCAAGGTATCATTTTTTACAAGATCATGTACTTAAAGGTGACATTGAACTCGAATTTGTGCTTACAAACCGCCAATTGGTAGACATTTTTACTAAGCCTCTCTGATGTTATAGTTACGATACAATGGGTCCCAGGTGGAATGGGTCGGACTAATCCACGCTTCTTCAACCGGTAACTGAGTGTTCAAGCCCACCAGAGAACCTGCACACAAGTTCAACAGGGGAACGGGGAGTCCCCCAGCGAACCCTCCGACAAGCAAGTTGGAGAGAGAGAAGTGTAATGTAGAGATATGAATTGGAGATAGAAAACTTAACCTTCTTCTTGTCATCAACGTCTGCTTATATCCTTTGGTAATCATTTCGCCGTCCCTTCCGACCTGCCACATTGACCGAAAGTCTATGCTGTAGCTTACCTTGTTCAGGGTGAGGGGGTGTTGTTCCAACGGAGAGGTGTTGTCGTAATAAATGCTGTGATGGGTTGCATTAATGGCGATGTGCAGTGGCAATAACTTTGCAGATCTTTGTCTGCTGATATGGCTTGTCCTTTACCTGCTACATGTCTAAATATCATTGGTTCTTCGTGCCATGTTGGCTTCTAGCTGTTCAGGATCTTATCAATTGGGTTATATGTTGGGCTCTAAGTAATGGGCTTGGGTTGTTCATAGTGGGCTATGACCTTTGTAGGCCTAACCACGTCAGTAGTCCCCCATTCCCAAGTGTCGCTTTAGCCCAACGAAGGGAATACTAATGGAGAAGATGAGGAGGACCGACCGCGAAGGGTGGCCGAGTGGAAGGACTGACCATGAGGAGGACCGACCGCGAAGGGTGGCCGAGTGGATGGGCCGACCATGACGAGGACCGACCGCGAAGGGTGGCTGAGTGGGAGGTTGAGGTGGGGGGGCGCGGGGCTCAAGAGGCGGCATGTCACGTGATGACTTGAAATGGAAAAGACAGTGTAAGGGGAGGTGGCAGTGAATCGTGATCGTACACGTGGCAGCATCTCGTGGGGAGGGAGATTAGGCGTTGGGCCAGAAATGAAACGATAGGTCATGATGGGTGTTGAAAAGACAGTTTTGGCGGATGTCTTTGAAAAGTTTTCAAACTGGTGAAAATTAATTGTGACCCTTAGAATACGGGCAAGCCTTGGGCTTTTGGTATTATTCGATTTACCTACTTCTTTGCAAAAAATCAAAACATTCCAAGTGTTAACTCCTTTGTTGCTGACGATACACCTCTGCAACATTTCTTAAATTTTCTTACACCCGCTTCCGAAGCTATTCATAGGCACACCACAGAGATGGCTCAAGAAGAAGCTGGAACAGCCAGGGTTGATCCGTTTGGGGATGACGACGCAGTGGACCTAGCGGAGCAGTACCGGACGGAGAGACAAGTGGAGAGAGTAGGGGAGCCGGTGGTACAATCCCATTCTTCCACCATGATAGCGGCTCCGAAGCCAATTAGCCAGGCAGAACCAGATCACTGGCATACGAAGGCTGACAAATCAACGGTTACTACGGCGGACTTGGAGGTTATGCACGAAAAATACCAGGTTCCCGCTGAAATAGAGTTACTGTTGCCGTCGTCAATGGAGAGGCCATCCGACGCCCGGCCGGGGGAGTTTGCCCTGTACGAGGAAGCATTGAAAGGAGGACTGAAGCTGCCGCTTCCGCAAGTGGTGGTTGATGTCCTAAACCGGTTGGAGGTAGCACCGGGGCAACTAATGCCCAACGCGTAGAAGATTGTGTTAGCCTGTGTAAGTGCGTGGCCGAAGGCGACTGAAGGGGCGGCTATGACGGTGGACGAATTTTTCGCGTGTTATAAGGCCTCAAGACAGCAAGAGACTTGGGTGACGTTACAGGCGGCGGCAAGAAGGGGTCTGGTGAGGGGGCTGTCGTCATCCATTAAGGGTTGGAGGTCGCGATGGTTTTACGTGTCCGCGAATAGAGGGGTTGGGGTGCGTACGGTGTGGAGAGTGCCCACCAAATCTGTGGAACCAAAACTGGGGGCGGCAGCAGTGGAGAGGATAAAAAAGGTGAAGGCATGGAGAGAGAAGGAGGGAGTCAGGTGGGACGAACTCATTCAACCTTCAGCCTTGTTTGCAGCGGGATTGGGCCCTCAGCCGAGCGTTGGGGATCTAGGACGGGCTGAATTAGAGGCGGGAAGGAAAGCGCAAGAGGCTGAGGATATGGCCATCCTTGCCAAAGCCAGTAAGTTCAAAGAGTCCCAGGCAGACCGACCGCCAAAACCGATCGCGAGGGAGAGGATCCGACCTCGCCCCAAACCCCTGAGGGAAAAAGACTTAGGTAGATTTGAGCCACGACCACCCCCAGTTGATCCGGTTGATGTCCTAAACCGGTTGGAGGTAGCACCGGGGCAACTAATGCCCAACGCGTAGAAGATTGTGTTAGCCTGTGTAAGTGCGTGGCCAAAGGCGACTGAAGGGGCGGCTATGACGGTGGACGAATTTTTCGCGTGTTATAAGGCCTCAAGACAGCAAGAGACTTGGGTGACGTTACAGGCGGCGGCAAGAAGGGGTCTGGTGAGGGGGCTGTCGTCATCCATTAAGGGTTGGAGGTCGCGATGGTTTTACGTGTCCGCGAATAGAGGGGTTGGGGTGCGTACGGTGTGGAGAGTGCCCACCAAATCTGTGGAACCAAAACTGGGGGCGGCAGCAGTGGAGAGGATAAAAAAGGTGAAGGCATGGAGAGAGAAAGAGGGAGTCAGGTAGGACGAACTCATTCAACCTTCAGCCTTGTTTGCAGCGGGATTGGGCCCTCAGCCGAGCGTTGGGGATCTGGGACGGGCTGAATTAGAGGCGAGGAGGAAAGCGCAAGAGGCTGAGGATATGGCCATCCTTGCCAAAGCCAGTAAGTTCAAAGAGTCCCAGGCAGACCGACCGCCAAAACCGATCGCGAGGGAAAGGATCCGACCTCGCCCCAAACCCCTGAGGGAAAAAGACTTAGGTAGATTTGAGCCACGACCACCCCCAGTTGATCCTTTGAAGGAAAGGGCCTACAAGGAGATGGAGGTGGAGGGTGTGGTGAAGAAGAAGATGAGAGTGAGGAGGAGTGAAGAAGAGCGTACCTTAAAGAGGAGGAAGGAGACGACGGCAGAGGAGACCCCCATGGCCAAGGACACAGGGGAGGAGGGAGTGGGGGAGATCCCAGGAAGGGTGGTTGCCCCAGAAGTGGTGGAGGTCGCCTCAGAGGTCATGGAAGTCATCCCAGTAGTGGCGGAGATCGCCCAAAAAAT